AGGGGTTTTTAAAGGCCACAGAGGCAGCTGGCTGATGGGCTGCATTCAGGAGGGTGATGACAGAGGTGAGTGTTAAGGAGGGCTTTGAAAGCTAAGAAGGCAGGAGGTGTCTGGATTTTTGTCAAGGAAATTCTCTCAAAGGTGAGGGGTAATGTGAAAGATAGTATGAAACTGGTCACTGTCTTAAGACTCTGAGAGGCTCTCCCCAGAGAATCTGTTTTAATGGTATGAATGACTTAGTGAATTCAGACCTGCCTGTTTGTCACTAAAACTTCAGCTCACTCTCTTCTGTCTTTTTTCAGCAGAGTTGCTGGCAAACCTTGTAAATTCCGAGTAGCAAATCCCCCAATCTGTGTTCCTGAAATTATTTAGTCCATTGGTTAACAACTCCACTGGAGTCAGGGAACTGCCTCGTGCTTTTAGTTAGTGATACTCATCAACTGCACTAAAGAACATTTTATTTCTTTGCATTGTCATTAGAAATAAAGGAAAAATTGATTTTGTTTTCCCCGACTGTGTTGTTTGATCTTTGAGTTTTTCATCTTGTTTTCAACCACCAAAATCCTAATTCTGGTTCACATTTCATGCTGTTACAACCTGTCATTATCAGAAGACTGGCCAAATCAATCTTGCATATTCTCAATGTGTTTGCATCCCAGGGAAAAAAAAAAAAACAACAATATTTCTAATCAGTCTTTGAAAATGAGTAGGTTTTAGACAGCTACAGTACCCCTAGAAACTTTCTACATATTCAGCTCCTCTCTTTGATCTCTTCCAAAATTAATTCCTTTTATGCATTTTTAGTTCCTGCTTATTTCTTCCTCCTTCTGCTCTCATGGGAATTTTCTCCTCCAAGTTTTTTGCAGTAAATTTTACACTATTTTAATTAATGAGTATTGCCATAATTTGGGCCTGGGTTAAGGTCTGTGCAGGAGCTGATAATCTCTGATGGCACCCTCCTCATTCACAAGGAGTTCTGCATCCCCCACCCCTCCTCTGATTGGGAGAAAAAAAATCCTCGGTTATCTCTAGCTGTAGAAATGGCAGCATTACCAGAAATAAACTTGACAGGGAAGCTCTATTCATATCCTAGGGTTTAGATTTTTTTTGAAATTAGAAACAGTTGAAAGAGGAATTTCCTTTGAAAGAAAAAAAATGCACTTTGAAAAAACTGAAATCTTGCATTGTGGGGATTTGGCAATATAAAATAAAAAATTCATCCAGTGACCACTACAAGGAAAGTTCTGTTTTTGTTCAATGATACAAAATATTGGTCTCAAGGCACCTTAGGTATTTTCTGTGATTTTTATTTATTCAAGGATCATATGAAAACATTAAATAAAAGGCATTTTTAGGGGAAAGTATTCATCCACCGCTAAACATGAATTGGTTACAAATATTTTTTTCCTTAAACGTTCAGTTTTAAATAATCTTTCAGAATATAAGACATGCTGGGAAAAGATACCCTCTGGGCCCTTTTAACTATGTACAAACTTCTGGATATGATAACAGAGCTGTTTTGGTGGGTGAGACTGTGCCAGGCTCAAACATGGGGAAAATATGGGAATATTTTCCCATATGGAAGTATGGGAAACAAATAGGAACAACTGTGAGGGCTGCTCTGTGGCCAGAACTGTGATGTCTCTGGCTTTAGTGAGTTTTGGGGATTGAATCCTGTGACTGCAGTGCTAGGATAGGGAAGGAAAAGCTGTTCAAGAGGCAGAGATGGAGAAGTGGAGGAGTATGGAAGGGCAGAATTCCTGTATGGAATAACTGCAGTTAAGGGATTATAAGGCTGACATCTTCTGGGTGAGGGTTAGGGGGATGGAAAACAAGGCAGATGTCATTGAGTGTTCTGTAGAACTGATGAATCATTCCATAGGCAAGCAGGAGAAATTTCTTGTGCTTGTGGGAAATGACAACTTCCCAAACATTAATTGGGAATGCTGCACTGCTGTGACAAGCAAGTCTGAGAAATTCCTGAAGGATGTTGAATATAATACTTTGCCACAAGGATTTAGTGAGCCATTTAGGGAAGATGTCCTCCCAGACTGGATACTTGTGAAGAGAGAAGGACATGTGGGATATGTGGTGGTAGGAGGTTGTCTTAGCTACAGCAACTACAAAATTGCTGAATTTAAAATATTCAGTCTAATGAGAACAAAAAGGGTCAGCAGAATTGTTGCTCTAGGTTCCAAGAGAGTAAACTCAAAACCACTCAGGGAGCTGCTCAGCACTGCTCCCTGAGAATCTGCTTTGGAGTGCTCCATGAATGCTTGGTTGAAGAGGGAATTCCTCATGGAGATTGAGACAAAAAACAATTTTTCATCTCTAGCAGCAGGACCAGGCGTCAGAGGAAGTTTACAAAGCTGTGGTTCACATATTCAGGGAGAAAACACAAAAGGCCAAAAGTCATCTAGAGTTTAAACTGGCCAGTGTTGTGCCACACAATTAGAAGACTTTTTACAGTATGTTAATAAGAAGAGAAGGTGTGAGGAAAATATTGGACCAATCCTTGTTGGAAATGGTCACCTGACAAACAGGGATGATGGAAAAATGAGGTCTTCAATGCTTGTTTTTTTTTTTTGCCTCAGCCTTTAATATTAATTATCTTGGACTGCCTGGTCCTGAGGAAGAGGACTGCAGCTGTGGGAACAGTTTGTGGCTTTCCATTTGTGGCCATTGAATTTTTAAGGGAGTATCAGTATCCACTGGATGTCCAGAAGCCCATGGGGCCCTGTGAATTGATGCCAGAGTACTTCAAGTTCAATCAAGTCCCAAAGGACCTTATGTATCCTTCTACTATAAGGTTCCCTGCCTAGTGGATGAGAGGAAGGCAGTTGATGTAACTGTTTCTTTCCTGGATTTTAGTAAACTTTTTAATAGTATTACATTTCAATAGTATCCTCCTGGACAGGTGGTTTAACTATGAGATGAGCAGGTACCTGGAGCTCTGGGTGAAGAACTGGTGTTCTTTTTTCTTCAGAATATAATATTCCGAAGAAATATTTTATATTCTCCACTGAGGTTTTGTTTTTTTTTTTTTTTCTAGAATTAGCTTGTGAGGGACAAGAACTTTTTGGAACTTCAACACATACGGATTCAGGTGCTTATTCAGTTATATGGGAATATGTCTTTAGAGAAGACACTTATTTTAATTGCAGGTTTTAACATATGTATACAGCAAATTATTTTTTTTCCCTTTATTTTAGTGTAATTTTGAAAGGGACATACTAATGTACAGTTTTATTTCCTCAGATGTATGAAATCACAGAAGAAAAGGGAATACTCAAAACGTTAAATGAAATATGGTGCAAATTGACTGAACCTCTGCAACCACAGGTGCCACAGCAAGAAGATACCAAGATGAAAACCTTGTCCTATCCATTTTCCAGAGAGAAAATATATTTGTGAGTACTTTAAAATGTGATGGACAGTGAAGAAAGCTGGAATGTCTCATTTTAGATTTGTAATTTCTTTTCCCCACTTTTCAGTCGAAATTCAGAAATTCATCAAGCATATCTAGAAATTCTGAGGGAACATCCAAAATTACCAGTGTTTCAGTGGATTAATAGAAATACAAGCTGCAGAGACTTTCTGCTGGTGTTCCTCTTACTTCTGTAGGATAAGGCACTGGAGCAGTGCATCAAATAAATTTCTGTATATTTAGCTTGAAATGTAGAAATCCCCCCACCAAATTCCTGATTATTTGGTTAAGGATATTACTGCCTGTTTAGAAAAAAAAGCAAGAGCTAGTAGAAATATAGCAGTATTTTCCATCTTGATAGATTTATTGTAGCAATTAAAACTCAGCTAATAATATGCAGATAAGGAATTCTTGACACATGCTCTTTCACTCAGAATAATATTTCTGGGCTCAGTTTGACATGAAACACTCTTTTTTCCTCCTGGGTGTCTCCTTGTATTTATGTCCAATAAATAAAATTCAGTAATAAATACAGTGACCCACCATTTCATTTATTGCCCTCTGACAATTTTAATTAATTCTGAATATGAGTCAAATTGATGGAGGAGAATAAACTGGGGACCTGATTTCATATATGATGATTTTGAGGTTTAAGGGAATGCATAATTCTGGCGGAATGATTATTTGAAATCAAGTGAAATGCTGACTGTTTAGTGGCCAGGAAAAGAGTAATGAACATCTGCATCAGGCAGGTTGAACTCAGCATGTTATTGTGTTGAGGGGATGTTATAAGAAAAATTTGAAAACGTCTTCTTCTGTAAACAATAGAGAGGTTCTTGCCCAAAAGGCATTTTATATTAGCTAATCATTTTGCATTTTTATGCCCACCATCAGTGCAATCCTGGTAGAGCTCTGAATGACTGGGTCTTACACAGTACATTCTGTTATGCTGTAATATATAATCTATACTCCTTTAAACACCTGCTTTTCTGATTAGCTGTGGTTTCTGAGTGACTTCTAAATTAGAATTTTATATGTTGTCTTACGTGTTGCTTCCATGTCTTAAAACAGAGCTGATTTTCCTCAATATTTTAGGTATAACATCAAAGACAGAGACACCTTTTTTGACAATGCAACCCGCAGCCGAATAGTAAGTTAATAAAAATAACATATCCTTGTCTTTTTCTGCCGAGTGGGATTTCCTAGTGGGGTTTAGAATGGGATTTACAGGGAGTGTTTTAATTTCAGCTTTGCTGATATCATTAATTTATGCATTTGTGTGTTCTTGCAGAACACTAATTCCTGACATATATGTGTGTAAGGAATTCCTTTCTGGAGCTTCACGGTGGTTCCGGAGTGGGAAATGCTCTGCAGGGAAGCCATTGACTCCTCCTCGGTGTCCAAAGCTCTTTTCAGCTCTGCTCCTAATCTTTAACTAGATTTCCTGCCATATAGTTCTTACACTTCAAATACTTCCATAAGGACAAAACACATCAGGCTTTAGCCCACAAATGTTAGGGCAGATAATCCATTAATAAAATCTGCTAAATGATTGAAATATTTGTGCAAACGAATGCTGCAGAAGCCACCTATTTTAGAACTTTATTTTATTGCTAATTCCATGATGAAATTCATGCTAAAAGAGGACCTGTGTGTTATCCCCCTGTTCTTCTTTGCAGGTGAGGGAAATTTTGAAGCGCACCTCTACAAAGGCCAGAAACAGCATGGGTAAGGTGGAGAAAAGAGAATTGGAGATATTTTTTTGAAAGGAATTTTGTAGGTATCTCACAGAATACTGATTTTTCTGGCAGGACACAAAATATGCTGGCACATCTTCCCAAAAGAAAAAAAAATTAGAGGTTGACTGAAATGGTTTTTTTTCTGAGGCATAAAATCATAATTTCTAGTCCATGGTTTGGATGGTAATGAGAGCTGGCTTTTCATTTCTACAGGTGCAGCATCTGGCACATAACTCACATTTCATGAATTGTTATAAAATTGGATTTGATTACTGTATGATCTGCTTTGGAAAATTCAGATGTCAACTGCAATATGTTGTATTTCTTGCGGGACCATATTTTTCTTGCCATTTCAATTGAATAATTCACCTTTCCAGATTATTTTTATTGCTTCAGCTTTAAAAATTACCTCCCTGAGCTGCCTAGTGAAAGATATGATTTAAATATGACTGTTTTGAAGGTACTTCTGGGATAATGCTGAAATACTTGGAGCTTGAGGTTCAGAATTTATTTAATTTTCTTGAGGTTCAAAATTTATACAGGTGTACATATTCTGTTTTCTATATACTCTCTTTTCTACTCTTTCTCTCACCATGTGAGATCATGGCACATATGGAAAAGAAGTGATGGTGTTCTCTGACATATTTTCTGGAAATCTTTCTGTAAATTTAACCACCTATGGATAGATCACAGTGTCCAAGGGTAACATTCCTGGCAAATAATGTGCTGCAGCAAGATTCTGCATAATCCTGGTGTGATATTGGGCAGGGAAGCTCCAATAACACGTGTTTTTGGTACAGGAAAATAAATTAATTTAGGTTTCCTTGGACAGGAGATAGAATATTTTTTTTTTTTTATTACATGAAAAGCATAACAAAATGAAAGCCACACCAAATGCTTTTTCTTTTTCAACCAAAACCACTTGCCTTTTTCCAGTATAAACTTTCAAATTTATGACTGCCACACTGTTTCCTTAAAAAAAAAGAAAATATGGTTTTAAAAATGTCAGGCATTCTCAATTTCTAAAACATTGTTTGGCAGTTTCTGCTTTTTAAACTGTTTGCTTGGTGCTTTTCTATGTTTTGATCTGCTCAAAAGTCTCCAGTGGGGCAATAGAGGGGAATGCTGCCTTATTTTTCTGGAGGGCTGGGAACCCTCCTGGACACTTTAGAATTTGCTGCAGAGAAAACTAGAGAGAAGCTCAAGGACAGAGTAGGAAGGTACAGAGCAGTTTGCCAGTGGAGATATTTTGCTTCTTACTTAAAGTTTTCTTTATTTTAATGGCTTACTCTGGTTTATAGTGGAATAAAAACCATCATTAAAGATCAAAGGACTAGTATTAGCTTCTCAGGAATTTTTTAACTCTAGCATGAAAATACAGCCTGATGCACTTCAAGCTCAGGTCAGCTCAAGAACTCATTTGACATGGAATAACTATTTTAACATTTCCATCCTTTCCTTCTTTCTGGTCTGTAGCCAAAACAGGATTGTGCATCATGTTTGACCTAAATTCATTTATTCCTTTGATCATCTGAGATCCTCCCCCAAGAGACCTCTGTTTCATATGTCACTAAGGCTTTCCCATCTCACTGGTCTTAAGCTTAAAACCACTCATCAGGAGAGGTTTGAAAGATTTTAATTTTTTTTTTTTCTTTTGTTATTAGAGTTCATTGCTTATTTTGCACAAGAGGCAGGACAGTGATGATGGAAGTGCTTATGGCAGTCTTTGGTTTTATAGATCTGTTTTATGAAAATAACAACACTTCAAACACATTTGCTTATGGATTTTTTTACATCTGTGTAACCTGGTTCTGCTCCTGTGATATTATACAAGGAATTATTATTTTCTTCTAGCATAACTTTGAGCCACTGTAAACTTCCAAACACTGGATGTTTTCAGGAGCAGGCTTGACAGTATCCAAGCATAATTTCCTGATTCTATGAATGCATGTAGTTGTACTTGTCCTTCTGTCAAGGGAGACATTTATTGGTACTGCCTGTCCAGCATCTCTGACTAGAGGGTTTCTCCCAAATATTTCAGGACAATGTGTAATTTGATTATGGAATATTTTTCATGACTAAAGACATGATAGCTGGTTATTGTTTTTCTGGGCATTGAAAGCAGAGAGGCCTGGAGTAAATGTATATTTATATATTTATATAACTAATAATCAGAAATCACTCATTTTTGGTTGTCTTTTTATGGAACAATTGTTTTCACCTCTAGAGAATGAAGATGGAATTGCTGTAAGAGTTGCAGCTCTTGAGAGCCAGTAGGGATCTTGTGTCAACCTACAGGTGCTGCAGTCACTGCTGAGAATTCCCTTGCAAAACTGAACTCCCAGGAACTGCCCAGGGCATTTAAGCAACATGGGATTGTGGAAGGTGTGCCTGACGGGGAGGGACTGGCTGATCTTTAAGGTCCTGCCAACCCAATCCATTCTACGATTTCATAACCACAAACTTCTGTAGGAGTTTTTGTGGAGGTTGTTTCTAATTGTTGGCCAGTGGGATTTGTAGTTCTGACCATTGTAAAGATTCAAGAAGGACTTCTGGATTATTTGCTCCACAGTCGTGGGGCTCTTTGCTATCAGGGTGAGAAAATGGTCAGAAGAGTCTTTGCACTGTGCTGTTCACTGAAGAAAAAGCACTTTGTGGAAGTGAGGTTCTCTGAAAAATTTTTCCACAGCCAGGAACATCTTGTGGCTCTATTCCCATTCTGAAAAATGCCAGTTACACAGCTCTGCCCCATCTGGAATGTCATGAAATGAAATCTGTAATAATGTTTTCTGTTCAATTGTGCCTGTTGACCACCTGAATTTTTCTTGTTCTTTTAGGCATTGGCACGTTAATAGCAAACAATGTTTATGATGCAGCCTACCCACTTCACGATGTACGTATGCACTATGAAAATAATCCAGTTCTCTGCTGGTGTCACTCAGGAGACATCCATGCAAAGACATTCTCATTTGCTGGCTGTGATACTGAAAATCTCTTCTAAGTGTGATTCTAATATGAAAACTTTTCTCTAACTACATTTCAAGTTGTGAACTAAAAGTAAAATTAACAATGTAGGAACTGGTAACCAAACTCTTCTTTAGTTTTTTCTGCTTTTACATCAGTCATTAAATTATTTTCTTTCTCCAGGGTGAATATGAAGGCCAAAATGATGACATGAATGAAAGAAAGGTAAAATACATTGCAACATTTATTTCATATTATATATAATGTAATAAATGATGTTCTAAATCTTGCTGTAAAGCCTTAGCCATTGTACAAACAAGTAGATGTTTTAACAAATGCATATGCTTTGTGAATTACAAATTTTCCTCTATTTCTGCGTTTAAAAATGTTTTTCCAAGATTTTTATAATGTCTTCTTATGAAGCATGTCAGTTAATTTAATTTGAAATTTACATCTTGAAATGCTTCCAGATTCCCTCTGGATGCATATACATGTGTTCAATGTGTCAGGAAGCTAAAAGTATTAAATAACTCATATAATAATTTTATTTTCCTAACCAAATGCTCCTAGATAGCTGTGGTTACTTAAATAAAATGTAGTTGTACTTTTAATATGGTTGTGCATTCAACTAAATTGCATGCAATTTCTAAAAATCTGCTTCTAATTATTTTGTAAATAAAGTTTCTAGCTATCAAAACACATTCAAAAATAGATCAATCCTCAAGAGAAACAGTGTGAATTCAAACTGTGTTTAATATATATGCTTACTTTTAGAAATGGAAAAAAACCCATTTAATTACTATTAAATAATCTATTTAGTTTTATAGATTACTAATAAGTAATTTATTAAGATCCTTTCTGTATTCTCTAATGTTCATTTTATTTTCCTTCATATGCAAACAGTGGGATAGGAAATGCAGAGGGAAAATAGTAGGGAGAGAAAGGGGAAGAGGGCAGAATGAAGAAAAAGGGAATGTTTGTTTTCGGTAAATAATGTTGCCATTCAGCCACTAGATGTCTTCATGTGCCGTATACAATTTAATTTAGTGTATAAACCTTGGTAAGCAAAATAAAGTTAGAAAACAAACTGTAAAATAAGCTCTTTTATTTGTGTCTATTACTTTGAACTTTTTGTTCATGAAGGCATTGTCTCCTCTGGACTTGCAGAATTTTCTCTGAGAGGCAGCTCCACAGATTACTGACTTGGAAAACAAACATTTTAAGAGAAAAAAACCAAATTAATATTAGTCAAAGGAGGAAAATTGGGTACTGTGGAATGGGGGAGAAGAGGACCTAGAATGACCAGTGTCTGGAAAAATATTCCCCCTACTAGTTGTATCTTGTGCTGCCCTCTTTTTATTCTGCTTATTAGGCTCAGTTATGAAGTGTTAAGTATTAAAAACATAAAAGCTTCTTTCCAGAAATACTTCATTGATTATTCACATATGTCCCTGCTGCCTAGGCTTTGAATCTTCTGTAGTATTCCTATGCATAACATCATCTGTTTTCTATCTGAATCTAATAGTCTCAGTGTTTAATTTCCTGAAGAAGCCTGATCAGGTTTAAAAGAAAGGAGGGCATTTTTAAGCTTTTTTTTTTCCTGCCCCCTTTTATTTTGCCCACTTTAACATATCTGTATCTTTGAATTCAGTTTTTTTCTTGTAAAACCCTAAATATGAACTCAGTCCTTATGGGGTACTTAAGCCAATAGGGCAGCAGAAGTAATTAAGGTTTATATACCAGTTTATAACATAAAAAGTTAATCCTTATGACCCTTCTTCAGGGTTTCCTTAGAGAAAATGCACAGTGACACAACACTTTTTCCCCATCCTAGAAAAATTAGAAATCTGCAATGAAAACCTTAGACTTGATAGGGTTTCGTTTTTTCCTAAGACAAATGGAATTTCCCACTTTCACTGTGATTTCTACTCTTAAAAAAAAAAAAAAAAAAAGTCTTTTTAAGAAAGGTATTTAGCAGCAGAATGGTAATAACTCACCATGAGTATAAACACTAGTTTAGTCTTTAAGTTTCTGGCCCACTGGCAATTTGTAACCCTTCATTGCTGTCTCTATGTTTGACATTAAAAAAATCCATGAGGGCTTTGTAACCCACCTGGGAAATCCACTGTTGTCATATGCTAGAACAGCATCCCTGTTATTAGAAGCAGATTAGAAAATTCCTTTAGACTTAGAAAAAGTACCTGTTCCTGAATGGAATGCTATTTTAGACAGAATTTCTTTTTGCTCTTCAAATTCCATTCTGTAGCTGTGTTCAAAGCAGCCTTTGGGGAGTTTTAGGAATGTAATAGTTTTAACTTTCTTCTTCTGTATGAGTGAATGCATTTATTAGTATGATTATTTATGGCAATAGATAAAATTTTGTAGGTAGTGCCTGGGGATAATAGCAAGGGGCGATTTTGAATAGGCAAGAACAAATATTCATATGAAAATATCCTTATGGCAGCCAGGACAATCCTCTTTAGTGAGGTTGTGTCACATAAATCATGAGAATGAAAGAGGGAATAAGCAAGACCATCCCAAATTCTTTGCCTCTTGTAGTTGAGTGTGTCATGGTCAACCTACCCAGGGTCCTGCAAGGTTTTCTTTTATCCCTGTTCCAGCTGCAAGAAGTTTCTGGAGAAGCTGGTCCTCCCTTCGAGCTCTCTGTAAGCTGTGGGGGAATCTGCATGTCCAACAGCAGATGTGGCCTTGTGTGATGTCCCCATGGGGATGGAGACAAAAGTGGCTTTTCCATGGGCACTGGTGGGTTTAGCAGCCCCAGGAGTGCAGCAAATATTTTTAACTCTTAGAAGATGTTTGTGAAAACAGAAGGGGGTAACTTGTTTCAAGTTAATTTTCAGACTTTTTTTTTTTTTGCCTTTTTTTTTTTTTTTTTTTTCATTCTTTAGTTGCTGTATCAAGAATGGGCAAGATATGGAGCGTTTTACAAGTTTCAGCCTATTGATCTCATAAGGTAACGTGGACTTGTATAAAACACCAAGGGGCCTTTCTCTGAGGTGATGCAGATTAATTCATTTCCACTTACTTCAGCAAATGAAATCTTGGATTGATCAGAACATTGAAAATAATGTCCTCACTGCTTTTTTTGTGGCTCTGATAATAATTTACTATAACAAAAATCCATTCAACCATTGTTACCTATGCTTTTGGATAGTGCTTATTCCTGGAAGAATGTCATACTTGTTTTTGGGGTCTTTTATGTATTGATTTTTTCAAAGGAGAGGAATTGCGATTTACATTGGTAAATCTTTATTGGAGGGTATGGTTCACAAAATCTGGCGAATAATCAGAAGCTGGTGTTCACATCATGAATCAGTGTGAAAGTATTTGACAGTTTTGAGATGGATGTGAGTTTTTTACTCCTGGTTTTACAAGTTTTATTCATCTGAAACACATCCATATGTGTTCCCAGTAGGGTTTTTTTTGTATATTTATAAATTTTTCTTTACAAACATGGAAGAAGTTGGCTCTAAAATAAGACAAAACAAACCAGTCATCACTTTTAAGGATTTCCTACAATAACTAAAAGAAAGCCAAAGCAAAACAATTTTTGTTGTATCGTATTTTGTTTCTACTATAAGTACCCAGTAAAGAAAAAAAAAATTGAGTAAACAGCTAACTAGAAATATTATTTTATAAGATGCCTACCTCGGACAAAATGAACTAAGATATTAAGAAATAGAAAAAAAATCAGCAAATATCTGTTTTAAAATAATTTGTATGTACAAGAAAGATGATGGTTGTTACCATTTGTCTTTTGAATAACCAAAATACCATTTTTTTATTGTATGATCTACCCCTATGTGATTGCCTGCAAAAGCTGCTGTTGGTAATATGGATAACCAATAAGCTTTGTAAAATATTTTGCTATATTTTGAGTTAAAGCTGAAGTACTGCACGTAATTTTTCAAAGAGTAAATCACTAGCTTTTAATGTGAGAGGAATTGCTCCTGATTGGGAACAAGATGTTGCGAACTGGCAAGTGGAAGTGAGACCATCAAACCCTACTAAGGTTCTGCAAGGCTTTGAAATGTCCACCTTTTTTTGTTTCAAAAGTTTTGTGCAAAATTTATGTAGCTTTAGTATGGCAGTTACTGTGGAACAAGCTCCTGTATGGAACAGGTAAGCTCAGAATGAGATTACAGCACCTGCTGTGTTTTTAGTAAATATTACCAGTGTTAAATGAAACTGTGACTGGCTAGAGGAATTCTCAAGTTCTAGCAGACCTGACAGCTTAGCTGAGTTAAAAATAGAGGTACATATGCTTGCACTCCATCTTCATTTGTATTTTGCTGTCTCCATTATAATGTTTCACTGTGCTGATATGATTTCATAGAAATCCTGTGGTTTAAACTTCTGTGAGAAACAAAAAGGAGACCAGACATATGCAATTGATTGTCTGTTCTCAGAGATGACTTTTCTCGCTTTTATCTTCCATATTTTGCTTGACTGCAAGTTTGACTGTTGCCACTAAAATAAATGTGGTTTTTATTTCCTGGGTAATGTTAGAGCTTTAGTGTAGATGTACCTGGAGAATGGCCACGCCTCTCTTCCTGCTGGTGAAGTGGATTTCACTTTTGTGCCATGGGGTATCTGAGCTCAGCCTTGATGTGGATACTTATTCCCTTGGCAGACATCAGTCACACTGTGTGTTTTTTGGTAATTTACTGTGACCCTCCTTTCTTAGACTGCTTAGATTATACTCAAATTTTTTTTTTTTTTTTCCTTGTGTAACTTAAGTTTAAATTCAGGCTTTGATGGACAGCTGAAGCAGCATTTATCTTCCTTTTTACTCAAAGCCTTTCCTGCCTGGTGTTTTCAAATGCATTAGCTCTGTTGAAGTGTGCTGCTAATTTTCAAATCCAGCTTGCAACATATATTTAACTATTACTGTTTCACTCTTATTCAGTAGGACTGCAAACTTAAAGCCATTCTTTAACTCAAGTGTCTATGCTGGAAGATTAGATGTGGCACTGTATAATTATTATAGGTTATTCCTGATGCTTTAGGACCTTCCTTCTGACCACACAGTTGTGCCAATTCCCAGCTGATTGTACACCAAAGACAGGAACCATGTAGTTATTGTGCTCACTCTTGATACAGCCTGGGGATTCTCTTCTAACATCTCTAATCCTCAGGGAATTTAACGCCGCAGTCAGTCTTGGAAAATTTTAAAGTTCTTAATAACAAAAGGAAATAAAGGGCCATTATAATATTCACCAACAATTCCATTCACTCCTGTCTCTTAATCTGTAAAAATATCCTTCTCTGGCTTTGTGGGCTGCTTTGGGCTATAAGAAAGAGCACATTTTTTTTATCAAGGAGATGCAGCTGCGAGTAAGGGAGGCTTCACCAAATAAGAACACAGTGCGTGTCACATATTTCTATTCTACAGCAGAACAATTTCAGTTAAAGACTTTAAGGAAATATATAGTGCAGATTGTGCAAGTAATACAGTGTGAATTGAAGTTTGATTTGTAAGATGTTACAACACCTCATCTCTCAGTGTGCATCCAGATATAAAAACGCATTGTTTGAAACACAGTCTGCCTAATGCGGTGCTTTATTTTCAAAAGTGTATGAATGTCCAAGAATGAATTTCAATTTTTTTTTTGTTTGTTTCTTTTGTACTCATGTGAAGAGGATTATAAACAGTTATTTGAGAAAGAAATAATGAATTATTTGCTAGCAGATATCTTAGGCTAAAATTACTGAAAATGAAGAATGAAAAGCCCTGGACCTTAGTCATCTCAGGAAGGCCTGAGGGATATATTAAAAAGTAGAAAATGAAAACTGCAGTTTTAGAATGTGCAGAGCTCTGGAGATCTGTCTGTTGTAACACACCTTTTCTGACATCCTAATTTAAGCATTGATTTTCACTAGAGAGGAGTTTCTCTTATGTGACAGTAATTCCTCTCAATCCTTGCACTGTAATATAAAAAATATGCTATAAAAACATCTGTAGCTTTGGAGTTCTAAATGACAGATGAAGGGAGTAATCTAAGGTTACGATGTCACAAAGATGTGGTTTTCCTTCTGGGACAAAACCTTAATGCATGGAAAACTGGCACATTTTCTTCTTAATGGGCATCTTGAAGCACCTACAGCTGGAAGACCAAGTAGGAACTGAAATTCCAGGAGCAGACCATCCTTTTAGAGAGGATGTCACCTTTTAATCTCTTGACCTATTAATATAAGATTACCTTACCCCAGGAAAATGAAGCAAAGTTGGCTCATTTCTAATTGATTTGGAGCTTATTTTAATATCACTGCTTCTACAGGCCCCAAATCATTTTCTAATGGTTTTTCATATGTTAATTTCTATTTCCCATTTCTAGAACTTCACCAAATTTCTTAGTAGCTAACCAGGTACATTATCTATAGCTAGATTACTTTCAAAGCTCCAAATGCCTCTTGCTGTAAAGCCTGAGACTGGGAAGACATGTAAAATTGAGACTATGTATACAAGAACTCTTTTTGCAGGAGCAGGTAGGAAAGCGTGTGAACTAAAATATTATTTATAGTGTATAGAACATAAATCAAAACTCCGGAGTTTCTGTTAGTCAAACTGTCTAGCTAATATATTCCCTCCTTCCTATCTTTAACTCTGTTTTCCTTTGGTATGGAAAATTGTTTCACCTCGGTGTGTAATGAATTCTGGCCTTTCATTGTGGTGTACCCATGTTGAACCTGAACTTGACTGAGCATCACCAGTCCCCCCCTGTTCCTGCCACGAATGCTGTGTTTCTAAGGCCTGGAGCTTGCTTCTCCTGGCAGTTTTTAAAGCTGTGACAGACCTGTGATCCAAAGTTTGACCATCTCAGCTCTGGAAGCTGTTGCCTTCTCTTTGAGTGCCTTGGGGTCTGCATAGGACAGCACTCAGTGTAAGCAATCAGGCACCCAAATTGTCAATACCGGTTTGCCTTCTGACATTTTTCTTTTTTTAATTAATCTTCGCCAAAAAAAACCCAAACGTGGATGTATCTGCTTACCCTACTTAGGGTAGTTTTAAAAGAAAGATAAAATAAGAATAGGGCAGTTCTGCTAAAATGTTGTTTTTATTGTCTTTAAAGATAGGTGTTTCTTCCTTTGCAAAAATGTGGTTAATCAATTTGTTGTACAGCTTGCCCCAGCTGAGCCCTTCTATCCTGCATAATGCTGAACAAGTAACTTCTTCATTCACCACCATGATTTGCAGTTACATCTTAAAGTTTTTTTTGCTTCACATAATGTAGAATTCTCAGGACTTGAAAGTAAAGTTTGTGATGCCCAGTCCCAGAGGAAATGTTTTTCAGTCACTGCTTATTATAACTTTGGGGCTATTGATTCTCAAAGTAGTGATTCTTTTGTATGCTTTAATTTCTCAGCTTCTCTGTCCCTCCTCTGTTATTATTGTGAATTAATCTCACCAAATATTCCTCTTTTTTTTTTTTTTTTTTTTTTTTTTTTTTTTTTTTTGTGGAATGGAGCCACTTTGGCAGAAACACCTCTGTAGCATCTGATTATCTCAGAGGGACTGAAAAACTCTCTCTGATGCACTGTCTGCCTGCAACTCTTCCCTGACTGTCTGTAGCAGGCAAATATTCGACGCTCACAGAGATGCTGAGGCTGCCTGCAAGGAATTCTGTGTTAGGAAAAAGAGATAACAGCTTTAAGCCTGGGAAAGTGCAGAAATTGAGCAAACACAACACTAAGTAGGAAAATGCCCATGAGATCTACCAGTATCTTTGGCACTTGTGCATCCAGCTCCTTTCCAAAACTCTGCCAAGCTCAGGCCTGAGGCAATAATCTGAGCATATCTTCTGCTGTAACCCTACTGCACTTTGAGGCCAACATCTTTTTATAGTTCCAAGAATCTCTACAGTGAAGATTCCTTCCCGACATGAGATCAGTTCAGCTTGCAGTTCATTAAAGCTCCAGGTGCAGGGGGAAGTGCTGTGCCAGCATCCACTT